GGGACGCATAGGGATTAAGTGGACCCATCAGGACGCTGATGGGGTATATAGGTGACCTACTTGGGACGCCAGTAGGGTATTTTGTGAAATCCTTTGAATTATGTACTGCCGTTAAAAGTGTTATAAACATTTCAATTACTCGGATTATACTTAATTATGCAATTATTGAAAGGGAAACTGTTGATGCATTTCTATTAATAGATCTCATTTTGAAAAATATTGATATCTTTCAATCATGATTATTTTTAGGATTATGATGATCACTTATTGAGTAGCCAAACTCATCAAACTATGGTAAACATTTTTTTCAGGATAACTACGGATTCATTTTGAGTGCTAGTCAAGATCAACCTTGAAAAATACTGTTGTTGTGCTAGCTTTCTTTATTTACTATGTAAGACCTCGCCACTGTAAATTTGTCCTATCAATAGATGTATATATGTTTTGTCCGTCACATCTCAGGAATAACAGTACTGTAAATTCTTGGGGTGTGACAACAGGGCTCTAGGGTGCCGGGATGTTTTGAGGCCTCTCGATCTCGGTGACACAAGTGGTGCCACTAGGCCCAGTCTGGGCGGTCAGGGGATGCCGCGTAGGGTTCTGAGCTGGCAGTGCCACCCTAGGCAAACTGGGTTTCAGGGTTTCAAGTAGAACTTGGGCCTTGAACCCAGTTGATTTTGGTTATTTTATTTTATTTTGGGCCCTGAACCCTCGCCCGTATTAAGACCGACTCCGTTTATATCGTACATCCTCTTTGTTTCTCTTTAGGTTTTAACCAGCCCTTGGTTTGGTTGGATGGTTTTCTTAACCTAAGATATGCATGTTTAATGGCCTAAAGCTAAGGTTTTCCTAAATCTAGGTTTTCTTCTGGGTCTTCTCTCGTATCTTAGAGTCTCAAGTTTTTCGTGACATACAAGCTAATAAGGTTTAACCACAAAATGGGTCCCAAAATCACCTTTTTAAAGATTCAAATTGTACTAGAATGAGGATATCCAAAAGCCAACCGATTTGACAGCTCAAACTACCCTTTCGGGCAAATTTGGGCTGGGCGGCACGAATGTGGCGCCCAGACCAAATCTATTTAGAAATGGCAAATTCCAGTTCTGGGGTGACTTTTGGGATGTTTCGATGCTGCTTGCCAAAAACCAGCTGATTTGGGCCAGTTTAGACTGGTGTGGCCCAAACCAAATTTGTTCAGAATTGGTAGATTCTTGTCGAGCTGATTTTTGGGCTGTCTTGATGTTGCCTGCCAAAAATGACACGATTTGGATCAGTCTAGGCTGGGCGACACCAATTGTGTCCCCTTGGCCAAATTTGTCTAGAATCGGGATATTCCAGTTTCAGGTTGATCCATAGGCTTTTGAAATGGTTCTTGCAAAAAATCACGTAAAAATAAGCCGTTTTGCTAGTTTTACTTATTATATTACTAGAACAGTGTGTTCTGCAGGATTTTGAATCACAGGGCAGGCAGTGTGGACTATGGTGGTCCATGGTCTGGGGATTTACTGGGATAGTGTGATCCGAATGCTGTCTAGAGTTTAGAAAACCATCAAATTTGTCAGTTTTCAAAATGGAACGTCTACAACAGGTATAAATGATATTCGGCCAATCAATTTGTTAATTAGTTTTTACAAGATTATTGTAAAGGTATTGGCTGAAAGATTGAAAACAATACTTCCTATCATTATTTTTGGCACTCAAACTGCATTTATTAAAGGAAGGATGATTATGGATGGAGTATTGATAGCACATGAATGCATCCATGCAAGAGTTAAAAGTGGTTTTAGGTGAGTTTTGAGGGTCCTATTATCTCTCATCTTAAGTACGCAGATGATACCATTTTATTTTGTGGGCCATATGTTGATCAAGTTCTAAACATCAGAAGATTTTTAAGGTGATGTGAATTCGTAATGGGACTCAAAGTTAACTTATCCAAAACCTCAATTATTGGTGCAGGTTGTTAGTATGTGGTGGTGAATTAGTTGCTTGAAATCATGAATTGTAAGAAGGAATTCTTTCCAATTACATATTTGGGAATGCCATTATCTGATTGTAGATTGACTAAGGCAGTATGGGATCCAGTTTTGAAGCGTGCACATAAAAAACTGGACATTTGGAAAGCCAAACATCTATCTCTTTGGGGGAGAGTAACTTTGATTAAATCATCTCTATAAAATTTGTCAATTTATCAAATGACATTATTATGTATGCTTGGAGATATTATTAAACAAGTGGAGAGGTTGATGAGTTTGTGGGGTTCGAATAAGGAGGCAACAAAGTTTCGTTTGGTTAGTTGGATATAGTATGCACACCAAAGAATGATACAGATTTGTGTATTTAGAGATTGAAATTAGTTAATCAAGCATTGTTAGCAAAGTAGTGGTGGCGAGCAATGTAAAGTGATAAATGTCTTTGAAAAGAAGTACTTGAATCTAAATATGACTTAGATCCTTACCATAATATCATAGTTGGTAGTTTAATTGGTGGGCAGACATATGTGTGGGGGGCAATCTCTTCAATGAGAAGGTTAGTGATGGCCATTCTAGACGGGCAATATAATACATTGTTTTGGCATTCTAAATGGGCTAGTGATGTACCTTTTAAGCTATTATATCCATATATTTTTCAAAGAAGCACTAATCCTATGGCAAAGGTTAATGAGGCTAGTACATTACAAGGGATGTCAGTAGTTTGGAACATCAATTGTATTTACCATCGTATACCTCATATTGCGATGGAGCAGTAAATAGATTATTAAAACTCTTGAAAGGAATTCATATCTCTAGTTTTGCAAATGATGAGGCTGTGTGGGAGTTTGAAATGGATGGTATCTATCCAGTGAAATCAGCATATCAATTATGGTTTTATGATCATATTCAATGGAATCAACCTTTATTCAAGGAGATTTGGAAGTGTCGAATCCCCATAAGGTACAAGTTTTGATTTGGGTTTTGGCATAAAGAAAGTACTAACAATTGATAATTTAAGAAAGAGAGAGAAAATCATTGTTAATATTTGCCTTTTTTGTAAACAAGATGGGGAAAATGCGGACCACCTATTTTTGCATCCATATATTTTTCAGTTATGGTGCTGGGTAATGCAAAAAGTGGGAGGTCTTATGCCTCTTCCATCTTCGATTGATCACTTTATGAGTCAAATGCAGCTTTGTGGGACTTTGAAGATTGGTGGACTATTGTGAAATATTTTAAAGGAGCATTGGTATGGGAATTGTGGTTAGAGAGAAACTACATGACTTTTGATGGTGTGACATTGGAAATGAAGGAGTTAAAAAACTGAATTATCTTTAGTACATAGAGTTGGTTTTGAGTATCGAAGGTTGCGGTGTGGCTAGGGTAGATGTTGAAAATAACTTTGGCATTTTGGTTACCTAGAGTTTCATCAAGTTTATACTGCAATGTATATGGGCCCGCCAGGATTGGGAAGTTTGAAACTAAATTTTGATTGGTCATCATTTGGGAATCCAGAGTGGGCAGGGGTGGATGGGGTATGTAGAAACAACGAAGGTAATATTATTTTCTGCTACGCCGCTCTTTGTAGTTCTATGACTGCTAATCATGCAAAGATGTCGGCTTTATTACAAGGTCTATTAATTTGGAAGAACACATGTTTGGATAGTACTTTGCATATTGAAGGAGATTCTATCAACGTAATCAACTTGTGTAATTGCTAGTCAAGACCTCCATGGTGACTACGTTCTTTATGGCAAAAAATCAAGGATCTTACTAAGGGCTGCATATGTGTTTTTTCAACCTTATCCATTGAGAAGCAAACTTTATTGGGGATGATATGGCTAAAAAAGGAGTCTGATTAGATTCATTGATTGTATCTCGTCTGATTTGTTTTAACTTTGTTCATTGTAATCTTCAGGTTTATTAAATAAAATACATTTCTCTTGTCAAAAAAATAAAATAAAATGATAATGCTCTTTCCTTATCAGGGAAGTTACACCGTGCCACTATTTGATTTTTGAGCATGTATAGTGTGTTCTCTCGGGGAGGCTACCTCAAGAGTATACTATGCATTTACTCAATTAGGCAAAACACTTGCTTGATATTTTTTTTATTTTAAAATTTTAGACTTATCTAATTGTAACTAGATGGTTATTTTCAAAGGAAAAAAATTGGATTTTGAGTTCTTGAACATCTAGATCATTCCCTCCAAAAATTGGATGGTTTAAGTGAAATTTTGGGATGCCATTCCTTTGAGGCACGTAGAGAGTGAGAGTTAATCTTTTTTTTGTTTGAGGTTGGTTGTCGGGTTCTAGCGATCATTTGCCCAAAATTTGGGATCTAAAAGATATTTATTGACGACAGTGAAGTAAACATCGGCGTTTGATACACCGCCTAGGCTGAGGGCGCGATATTTAAAAGGAAAAAATAACACTAGTTATAGGATATTTTAAAAAAATAAAATAAACTTATGGGATATTTAAATAGAAAAAAATAATACTAGCTCATGAGATATTTGGAAACAAAAAATACCAATAGCTCATATGACACCTTTTGTCTATATGCCCACTTCATAATTTATTTTCAAGTTGTTTTATCCATTATTTCTCATTTTAAGTATTAATTTATTTATCTATTTTGTAATTTATTAAAGCTTATTTCAAATTTATGTTTCCAAATTTTAGATTTTTGTCCACACCAAGTATTATCCAATAGACCTATTTATTTGTGAGGGTCGTACCTTTTCTTTATCTCTATTAATGAAAAGGTCCAAAACTATATAATACATTTCTTTTTTTTCACTATAGATTTGAGTTAGAGAGATCAATTTTATTGCAATGAGTTACATTTTTAAATCCCATTTTGGCCATAAAATGAATGTAGTGGATACCACATTTAGACATGACACAAATTCCCAGTATTTATATATTTTCAATAAAAATAATACAAAAACATAATACAATACTACTATTTTTGGCAAAAACCTAAAAGTACAGATTTTTAAAAAAGGTTGGTGATGTTCTTGAACACCGAATATTTTGGATCCAGCCAATCCTCTAATATGAATCGCGTATCTGCCGATCCGATAACTTTTTACAGTGGGTTATCCGGGTAACCTTGGTGTCCAGTGTCCACCATGTAGAAGCCCAGATTCTAAGCACTTGAAATCCACGCAAAATTAAATGGCTAGCGAGGGGTTTGGCATGGACTCCATGAATTCCATCCCCTGCTGATTAAAATCACCAGTCGTCCTTTGAGCGCAGTACAGGTTTGGTACCAGTCCTTTAAACCCACGCAGTAGAGGTGGAGCGAGGCCGAAACATGGAGAGGCCACCCCATGACTACTCCGGCTTCGCCCAACAGGCGCAGCAGTCCCCGTTTGGGTTGCAACAGCAACACCACTTTCCTCAACCTAGCGCCACCAACACCAACCCCTATACCCCCTTCCCCATCAACCATCATCTTCCTGTCAACAACCTTCCCAATCCAGGCGCCCTCCAATTCCCCCCGGCCTTTCACCGCCCGCCGCCCCTGTCCCACCCTCCTCCTCACCTTCCCCCTTACAACCTCCCTCCACACCCCATTCCCCAACAACACCAAAACATCTTCCCCCCTCCCTTCTTCCATCCATGGGACCCTCCCCCTCCACCTACTCCCCCGCCTGCAGACCCCGAGCTCCAAAAGCGCATCGACAAGCTCTCTGAGTATGCGGCAAAAAATGGCCCCGAGTTCGAAGCCATGATCAGAGAGAAGCAGCAGGACAACCCCGGGTATGCCTTCCTCTTCGGTGGCGAAGGCCACGCCTACTATCGCTATATGCTATGGATTTGCACCCATCCGGCTCCTCCAAATTTCAACCCCACTCCTCTAAACCCTAACCTCCCTCCCATGCACCACAGACCCGCGATGGGCCCGGCCATGCACCACACAGGGCCTGCTGGGTTCCTGGGACCTGCTGGCCCTGGGTTCTTCGACCAGCACCGGCCTCCTCAGCTCCAAGGGCAGCCTCCACAGCCGTTTTTTGAGCAAATTAGGGGAGAGTTTGAGCAACTTCCTAAGGCTTTCAAGGGCTTGTCGGGGCCTTTGCCTTCGGATGTGGCCTCAGAGTTGGGTGGGGTTCTCAACAATTTGACAGGGACAAAGGAGTCCATTAAGGGGGCGAAGATTTGGTTTATGCAGCGGTCACCCTTTGCGCCAGCACTGGCAGAGGCATTGCGAGATCGTGTGCTTACATTGGACGACTCGGAGAAGCAGCTCCATATCATCTACCTTGCGAATGACATACTCTTTGACAGGTGCTCTTTCTTCATACATGCGGCCTTTGTTAACTTTTGCTTTTGAAGAATGATTTTGATTTTGTGATGATTTCCTATCTTTCGCGGATGACACTGCTAATTTTTTTTTTTTTTAAATCTGTAAACCATCAAGTTTGGAACTTATTTTGTTGTACAAGGGAGGAAAAAGAGAAATAGGTTTATGCAATTTGGCCATGTTTGGATTAAGACAACGATTCAAGGTGATACATCCATGTTAGGATTAATCTTCAGTTATAATCTGCACTAAGGCTTTTACAAATTGGATGTCTTTTTAAGCAAGTTTGCATTCTAGTAGATAGGTGCTTGTGTCTGGATGGCCACTGAGTTTCTTATGTGGATATTAACGCTTCTGGAAATGTGTGAAATGCATTCCTTGAGCATATACTGCCGTTTGAAGACAGAAATTTTTTATTCATGGAAAGGGTTCTTGCTCCACTCATGTGCTCTAGTTTTGTGTTAGAAAATTTACTGATATGACTTAGCTTAGGTCATCTCCAGTCCGAAGGTTTAGTATCTAAACTACTGTTGATTAATGGTGAGATTGCGGTCTGTTTGACACAGGAATTGCTGTTCACAAGGCTCTAACGAATTAATAGCTTTTGCAGTTATAGCACCACTCATGATGATTTCTTTGAAATTATCTACAGACCCATTCCTGATGATTCCTTTGAAATTCGCTTTCATGGGCGATCTAATTGGAGTAAAACATACGTATCACTTCTTAATGTGGAGAAAATGACTTAGACAATGTTTTTTGATTAACATTTGCTATTTCCCTTTTGGTGGCATAGATCCCTTGTGTTAGAGAATTCAATGCCTTTAAGGGTTACTTCTTTGGGGTGATTTTTTTCTTTGTTTTTTGTGGAAGAAATAGCCTATGGTTGGATCAAGACTGCAAAGATAGACCTATGGTTTACTTTTCATCAAAGATATACCATCGAATTTGACGAAATCAAAGCTTTTCAAAATAGGGCAAAGTTTCCCATTTCTTTGATCTAGAAAATGTGAGAAGACAAATCATTTTCTCAAATCCATTGCGTTCAATATGTACACCTAGTGAGTTTTTAGCATAATTTAAAGTTTTGCATAAAAAAGCGGATTTTGGCCTCTTATTGCAAAGAAAATGGGAAATGGGGGGCAGATTTCCATCCCTTTTTATTTTAAAGCTCCACTGAACAGTACTCACGCGAGTCCTATAGTACTCACCCAAGTATAGCTGCCCATATCCCTGAGTATGTGCACCAATACTCGCCTCAGCAAGGTGCCGAGGCTGAGTAACTCAGCCGAGTTTAAAAACACTTTATGTGAGGGTTAAGAATTTGGCATGTACCATATGGATTGAGAGAAATTTCTCCCCCTAAGGAATTTAGATGCCCTTAGTCTTTCGCATCAAGTGCCTCTTCTGTTTTGCAGCGTTTTCTTTTACTTGGTCTATCTCTTGAAGATCACTGCCTCTGAGAACCCTTTTGTTCTTTGTGATTTTGTCTAGAGAGGCTGCATTTTTTCCATTGATTTTAATTTATTTGGGCTGATGTACCCACAAGACAGGAGTAGAATACCTTGTTTACCAAATATTAAGAGTAATCTGTTGCTCTATACTGATAAATGTAGGACTAAATAATGTACCTATAAAGATCAAATCAAGGATATAGTGCCTAGTGGAGGTCATGAATGGCTTTGCATGGTATTTTGACATAGTTGAGATGATATGTGTTCGAGAGCCCTTAAGTTGCATCATTTAGAGTTCTTTGGCGAAAACCATGGGGACCAGAAGCCATTAGGTTGCGTCATTTAGAGTTCTTTGGCGAAAACCATGGGGACCAAGTTTACATCTATTATTTTCTTAAAGAAAAGAACACATTCATTAGATCCATTATCCAATTGTTGGAATGTTGAAGTAATAATAGCCAAAATTTGTTGGCATTGGGCTAGTGATCCGTTTTACTTATCTCCTTGGAGTTGCTGAAATTGTTTGTCCACTAATCATGCTTTGAGGCATTGGTCGTGACTATCAATTTTGAATTCAGCATTTGAAACCTAGTTGGAACTGATGCAATATTTTCATTAGAATGTAATGTAAGAGCACAATGTAATTTTGTCTTGCGCACGGCCTTTTGGCTCATGACAATTAGAGGAGCAAAGAGTTCCTTTGTTACGGTTTGCTATTCATATGTGCAACCTCGAAAAAAGGAAATATTCAGAAGTTCTTGACGAAACTCATCATAAAAGAGATATTGACGAACAGTAAGGATTCACTAGGAAGATACTTGAGAGACATCAGATGTGCACTGCTATTCTCTAATTATAGGGTTAGCAAGAGGGTGGTAGCTTTGATACTTGTGAGATGCACGACCACATAAGGTGGATGAGGTCCTCTAGCATAGCTATGGAGAGGGGTCCTTATGGGTGACTGAGGGGAAGGACTCATGATGCTAATGCTTTCCGGCCAAACTGTGAGGTTGTGTGAAAAAACCTACAAGCTTCTGCATGAAAAAAATCTATTGCATAAAAAACACAAGCAAGATTTGAGAATGAAAATATGAGCATGGGTGTAAGTGTAGAAGTGCCAAAATGGGAAATATATGTGATTAAGATTCAGACTCCCTTGTCGGGACATGATCTGGTGCACTTGCATTGACCCTGTTGTTAGAGTATGAGCATCTCTCCATGGAGGAAAGTTGAAATTTGTAACCCTTGTTTTGGCCCCCACGGTAGGTGAGGACTGAAGACTCAGGTAAGTTCTTTTTTTGGTCCATATAAAGTGATGCATCAAATCAAGTTGCACTATTGGCGATCATCCAAAGGTTCACCATACGAAGACTCCAATTGAGAAACTAGTGAAAGAAATAATGTGGGTATATGTTAAATGTATATAGTCCTGTTGAAAGATTTTAAGCACTGGAAGTTGTAAAATATCCCATTATGTTTAAATATAAAATGAGGTTAAAGAAAGAATAAGTAAAGAGAATAAAAGTTCTTTGTTTTCATATCACAAAAAAAAGTAATCAAATAAGTTACCTCAAATATTTTGCCGAGTTCCCTTTGAAGAGATTGAATACAATAAATTGTTTGACACTTGTATGTTCAAGGCTGCACCATACTTCTTCTCTCTCTCTCTCTCTCTCTCTCTCTCTCTCTCTCTCTGGGATGGATTATCTGTCTTTATAAACCAGGCAAGAGTTCATCGAAGATGGATAATTAGCGAGAGAGAATGGGGTCATATCAGCTTCTTATGGGCATTTAACCTTAAGATTCCTATGTAGTATGTAGTTACAGGGAATACCTTCCAATGATTGGTTTTTTTGTTCCAACTGTAATCAGTACCCAAGATGCAAATGTCCATATTCTTGTCATATTCATCAGGTACAAATGCTCCAACATCTGCCACCTCTTGTATGCAACCCTTCTTTTTTGATTTCTCATGGAATACAACTTATGGCATCATTTTATGTTAAATCCTCTAAATGTTTACATTATACTAGATTGGCCTTAACTTATTTTCAGTTGTGTGAACATGGTCACTGTTTTAAATGAAAAGCTACTGTAAATGTGTGGCTTGAATTTTTACTAGTGACTTTACAGTTTATGTGCGTTGCCTTTGGATATGCACTGAGAAAGAGAGAAGAACAAACTATTCAAAGACAAAAATTAATATAGCATATTAGGTATTTATAATTAACATATAGATAAAATAGATTATTAGAGATTTTTCACTTCAAAGGAATAAGGCACCCTTTGGGAGCAATTAACACTTGATCACTACATGACTATTGCAATTAAATAAGTTTTTCTGTTTTTTTTTAAAGAGGTAAATAAGTTTTTTTGTTGAATTAAAAAGAACATTTTACTACAGAATATACATAAGACATGAATTAATTTTTATAAATCATTATTCTGGAATTATATTAGGATCGGACCCCTATCCTGATAACACTACTGGTGTTATTACCATTTAGCCTCTTGCCCTTTGTTCTCTATTTGAATAAGATAGGGGTCCGGTCATTTATGAGAATATTCCTAATGGGATTTTGGGGACTAATAGAAAGAATGAGATGGTCGTCATAAAAAATATGGGGAAAGGTATTATAGTAATTTGGAGCAATAATACATTGCAGGCAATTACCCCACATGCACATAATTGCATCAAAGCAAGTCAACATCCATGTTTCATAATTAAGGAACTGTTTCCTCTTGTTCTCGCATGAGGCTTCGTTCTTCTCTATCTTCATTCCAATTTTCTCTTTAAACTTTCTTCAACACGTACTCAATAAATCAAAAGCATGACCTTAACATCTTATCCATCCATGGATGTAATCTCTATCATGCTTGTCCTCATATATATCACTTCACAAACCAACCCCCCGCCCTTTGGGTTGGGGGGGGGGGGGGTGGATCTCCTCTTATCCTCGATCTCTCTCTCTCTCTTTCTCTTTCTAGACTGAAACAGTGTATCCAGCTATCCAAACAAGAGTCATTTGTGGGTGACAAAAAACAAAAACCAGACCAAAGGCCAAGAAAAGACAGCAGCATCGAAATAATAGTCCATTTTAAGGAAATAAATAACACTGAATTCAAATAGCAAAAGAATCGCTGATACATTTTGGAGTTCACAATTTTAAGTGGAATGTAATTACTAACCTTTCTAAAGTAATGTTTGGTGCAACTCAAAATATTCATCATTATTTCTACGTTCCTGAATATTAGGACCAAGTATAAGAATTGATTTCAGTTTAATATAACAAAGAAATAAAATATGGTTTCTTATAACCAGCGTTTAAAAAATCGTCGAGTCGAACCGGACTCGCCCGGTTCGACTCGGATTTCACGAAAATGGACCGGATCGTTTCAAAAATCGGGAATCGTCCGGTTCTAGAGAGAACCGGACGATTCCGCACAGTGACTCGCCAATTCACTGTGC